AAATTTCCCTGGAAGCACACGACCGGTTTCGCGGTTCTTGCCGCTCGTCAGGCATGCGTATCCGGTAATCTTTTGTCAGTTCATTCATATACTTGTACCCAGGAAGTGTATAACCTTATCTGCAACACCGGGTAAATTTTGGATAGACAGCTCTTTCAAAGCCAGTCTACTGAAGAAAACAGTATATTCGAATGCGATGGAAATGTTTGTGATAACCAACAAAGAGCACTGGACAGCTGTTTCGTCCCGTTTGGGACTCGTCAGTATATTGTTGCGAACAACGGGTGAGTTTCTCAGTCTCAAAACATAAATCGCCCAGTGGAGGTCGTCGGTGATCAATCCAAGAGACCGCACCGCCAAAGAAGTATTTGTATGCAAATGAATCGGATAGCAAAGGATCTGTGTTCGAAATCAGTTGATTCACAAAAAACAAGATTTAAAAAACTGATGTCCGGTTTCACTTATTTTCGTTGACGATTGACAATTTTCACGGTTGAAATCGATTTGTCCCCGATTCAAATAGGAATAGGGTGTAAACTAACATCGAAGAAGTCGTTATTATTCAATTTAGTTTGATACCACATTTTGATTGGCCATTAGAAGACCACACCATTTGAATTTGATGGAATTCGATATCTGAAGTGTCACGCAGGGCGCGATGGGTGGAATGCATGCCATATTTCATCCCAACCACTCGATATGTAGGTTTATTTTATATAATTCGCCTAAAGTCGATCAATGAACAATAAACCGCCTGTAAATCCACCAAATACTTGGTTGGACAACATAAGGAAAAAAGGTGTGTAGTAAAGTGGTGCCAATTGTGATAAGATGTTCCGAAGGCGAAACGGACAAATGTATCATCATCGTAGAGGACCGAAAGCAGTGTGCTCGGAGCATTAAGCCCCCTGATCCCCAAATGACATTAGCCAACAAAAACAGAGAATTAAAATTGGTACTGGCTCCGACTGAAAAACTCGGTTTATAATTCAAAACAGGAATTGCACTTTTTGTGCCAAACTCCGAACGAGACCAAAAAATCCTGGTGGAACCAAGTTGGACTATCGATCAATCGCTCCACGAGTCGGTCAATCAGTGGAATCGATTGGAAATCGTTCGATAGTCCAGGATGAAGTACGCACGATTACAACGATACGATGTCCAGCTAATGGCACTTCACCCAGGCGAACTAACCGAATATCGGCAACATTAAATAAGCTCTGCAAATGAAACAAACAATTAACCACGCGTGACCTGAAATGGAATGAGCCGATAAACGATAAACTAGGACAACGGATTGGTGTTTAAACGAAAAGGTATGTGCGACGTGGTCGGCGAAAAAAAGACGAAATCGGACAAAACACCATTCTACAAGATAGAAAAAAAATCAACTATTTAAAAATAAAACAAAGGGCCGACAAACTGGGAACAGTTAGGCGCCTAAATGAAACATTGGACTAGTTGAAATTTAAAGTAAAGTAGTGTCCAAGTATTTTTTTTATTACATACTTTAATTTAGTGAAAAATCGAAAAAGTGAGACTCATGTTTACAAGAGCCTATTTTTCAGTCACAAGAACCACTAGCCCCTGGAACTTGGACTAACGAACCGCATAAGGCCGCAAAGAGATAGACGTGAAAAAAATAACGAATAGAATAGCGTAACACGGACAACGGGCAAAGAATGGTATAGACTTGAGAGAACCCTTTGCTAACTGTTAAAGCCTAGCGCGGTGCACACAAATCCTGCTGAACACAGCAATGGTCTGAAGCCCACCATCACATAATGTAACAGCTACATTCCAAAGGTCAAACGAAAGCCTAGCAAGGCGTCCAGTGGCCGAAACAATGATACAAACAATCAAACCGCCTTCTCAACATCCGGCAAAGCTGGTAAAACAAACAAGATGTGACTGGATGAAAGTACGCCGTGGAAAAATGCTAATAACGGTGCTATGACATGTAAGCAAAAATAGTTTTGTTATGAGGTAACAATTTATGGTTGCATCGGTTCCTCCGTTCAATTTATGTTACTCAAACGGTACACGTTCAAAATGTCCCACTATACAGTGAGTGAATTTTGAGACCAACTGATCCTAAAAGATGGAACAAATTAGACCCAGAGTAGTGCATGCAACTAAACGCAGTACCAGGATAATGTTGTTCAAGTTCGTTGAGAACCTTAATTTAAAACGGATGAGAAAAATTTGAACGAATCTAGGTTGATTTATTTCTTCATTCGTGCGAGTAACAGTTGGATATTCACCTTTTGGGGTGCAAAAACCACATACTTCACTTTCGACGGAGTTGGATCTGAAGTATATATATATATATATATATATATATATATATATATATATATATATG